CCATACGGTCAAAGTAACTTTGGGGTGCCTGGGTGGCTCAGTCGGTTAAGTGTCCGACTTTGGCTCAGGTCATGATCTCATGGTTTGTGGGTTCAAACCCCATGTCTGGCTCTGTGCTGACAGCCAGCTCAGAGCCTGGATCCTGTTTCGGATTCTGTGTCTCCCTCTCTGTCTGACCCTCCCTTGCTCACGCTCTTTCTCAGAAATAAATAAAAACATTTAAAAAAATTTTTTTAAAGTAACCTTTAAAATCATAAAAAGAATAATTTTTCTCACCTGCCTAAAATCCCCTAAAGACTCCTTCCTATTTTACCTTAAAACCCCCCACCTTATGACAAAGTCCTACAGGCTTTGTTCCCTTGTCTAACTCAGATCTATTACCTGCCTTCTCCTTCACCTACCAGATCAGCAATACAGACCTTTTTTTGATTCCCAAAACATACTCTTAAAAGGTCTTTCCCCACAGAAAACACTCTTCTCCATTGGAGTAATTATTATTATTCAGATCTCAGTTTAAATGTCACTGTATTTAAAAAGGCTTTCTGTGACTAGTCAATTTAAAAGTAGCCACCCAGTCATGTACTATCAAATTACCTCATCCTATTTCAATTCTCTATATAGCTCTTAACATTATCTGGTTATTAAAATGTTTTTTTCACGGACTCATTCCATTATAATATATTTACTATAACAGTAGGACAGGATATTTATTAAGTGCTCAACAAATACTAAATAAATCAACATGCAAACACTGGGGGATCACTAACTTGATAGTTCACTAAAAGAAATGTATTCAACTCATTCAAAAGATGTTTATCAAATGCCTACTATGTGCTAGGTATAGGAAGAGCAAAATTCTGACAGAAACCATACCAGATTTCCCAGGTACTTCCTGTATTGTGATTTACCAATATGCCAACAAACCTTAATTTCATCTCTATGATATAGTATTTTAATATATTCCTCTTGTTCTAACAATCTAGGAAACTTCTATAATAAAGTACTATCTCCAGCACAACTATATTAAAATATACTAAGCTGCAATAAGAATAAGTTGCTAATAAATTATGTCTAACAAACACCATATACAGTACAAGTACAAAACAGTATTTTACAGCATAATCACCAACATTATACAAATAAACCACAAAGCAAGGTAATTCTTTGTAGATTATGGTACAGTATGCTGTGTGCAGTCTGTTGTAATAAAAACTGTTTTATCTTTACAGTTCTCTTATCCAAAACTTCCAACGTATATACACAGCTTTGATGTATTAATATAATCACATTTCAGCTCGTTCATTTAAAGTCTCATCTCAAACTTAGTGGGTTTTTTTTCCAGTTACTGAAAGCACACAATGGTGACAAGGGTTAGCATACTGAAGGATTAAATCTATATATCACATATTCTTTCTTGTCATCATTTTATGGGATACAATAAAATCTGCAATGTATTATAATCATTTCAATTTTTGTTCTTTAATCTACCTGTTCTTAATGGGTTAAAGTAACAGCAAAAGAGAAAACTAAGTGACTTTGGATCTGAGCTTAAAAAAAAACAAAACAAAACAAACAACAACTGTACTCCATTTCCCTCTAAATGTCTATCACATGACGGACTTAAAAAAAATTGTTTTTAACATTTATTTATTTTTGACAGAGTCCAAGTGGGGAAGGGGTAGAGAGGGAGAGGATGCAAAGCAGGCTCCACGCCGACAAGAGTCCAACATGGTAATGGAACCCACAAACCATGAGCTCATGACTTGAGCCAAAGTCGGATGCTTAACCAACTGAGCCACCCAGGCACCCCACCAACTTTCAAAATTTTAAAGAACTTTATACAAATAGCAGTCTGTTAGGCATCTCAGAATACTTTATTATGCAAACTACTTAAATTTCCTTTTTTTTTTTTTTTTACAATAAATCATCTCTAAAATAAAACTTCACATAAGAATATTCTCTTTTAGTAATGGTCTTCCCATCTTTCCATTTTGTTTCTATATTGCTTGAATATTTTATAAGATGCATTACTATCATAATAATAAAAAGATTGTTTTGCACTGGTTAACACTAAGGGCAGTGCATGGTAATGGTCAAATAAATGGCACAAAATGGTTGGTTAAGTGTTAACATTTTGGCTGTTAAAAAAGGGGGAGAGGAGTTTCAGCATTCAAAAACTAAAGCAAACAATTTAAAAATGAATTCTGTTCCTTTTTCTACTTTGTACATCTACTCTATAGCTATTGAGCCACCAGGTCAATAAGGCTCCCAGAAGACCCAGAACCTGTCCACATGTGCCTATATTCCTCCAATGCTGCCACTCAAAGATTACACTAAACATATAGCTGTTCAACAAATGAATCACTCTCATGATTCCCCTATCCCAGTCCTTTATTTTTGCTCTTGCACATCTCAAGCTCACAGAGTTTTTATGCTGGCCACTTCAAGTTACTTAATTTTCTTAGTTCCTTCTAGGTAAAAATCAAGTAAGGACAAACCTTTGAATAGCCAAAATAGAAGAAACTGTTCATTTTATGTGGATCTCATTACAGGTCTCACTAAAATCCTGTTTTCTCCACTTTATTAAAAAATCTATTTCTGATATCCTCCGTTACCTAGTTTTCACCACAAATTAGAAACAGGACATTTAGAGTCTCTCTATATTAATAGAACGTTCATTGTTCCTTTCCTTACAGTAATTCTACTCAAATACTGTACCAAAAATAGATATTAGGGGCGTCAGGGTGGCTCAATTGGTTAGGCTGCTGACTTTGGCCCAGGTCATGATCTCGCAGTTTGCTCAAGCCCCACATCAGACTCTGTGCTGACAGCTCAGAGCCTGGAGTCTGCTTTGGATTCTGTTTCTCTCTCTCTCTCTCTCTCTCTGCCCTTCCCCTGCTCATTCTCTCTCTTCCTCAAAAATAAACATTAAAAAAATTAATGAGCTTTCCGAAAATACACCTTTAGAAGTATATTTACATTTAATGTGACGTAAGACATTCCCTTGTAAATAAACTGGTAAACATGTACAAAAACAATATTGGCTCTAAAATAATACATAAAATGCTTAAACAGCTCTACAAATTGTATAGAACATCCAGTAGAGCTGTAGAAAGTCAATGCATAACTTCAATAACTCAACAGATATTTACAAAAACCTCCTTTCGGTTTCAATAATTCTGGAATTAATTCTAAACATTATAAGCTGGTAAAGTTCCTGTGGCACCAGTATTACTGCAAAGAAACAAAGTCAAAGAGACATTTTATGAAGTTTTGTCTGAAAACATTAAACAAATGGCTGCACTTTAACTTTCATCCTTTATTAGTACACACTAAGCAATAAAGAAAACGTCAAGAAAAATTTGACTTCTATTAGTAATATCAGTTCACAGGGTGTTGTCAATTACTCTGAGGACACTGAAAAGTTTCTCACCTATAATTGCCATCTCCTGTACCTTAAAGAATTTATCACAAAACATACGTCTACATATTCTTGAAATAAAATTATTTTGTGCCACAATTCCACAAAGATTGGAAACTATGTTTCTTAAATAATTGAAGATGCAGGAAACTTCAGGTTAAATGAGACATGTAAAACATAACATTACATCCTCACCCAAAGACAGCCATTGCTAATGACGGATTTCATTTACTAACCACCAATTAAATACCACTATATCCTCACATTTCTGAAAGGCAGGTACATAGCAAATAAGTTACAGAGGCACAAATGGAACTTGTCTAACACCAAGATCCCTGATCTCCACCAAAAATAGAATCAACTATTTGTTTAAATACAGATTATTAGAAAGTAGTTGGTTTAAGCCTAACATGACAATCTTAATGGTGTGTACAGAACCACAATTCCAAAACAAAAGCAATAGATTTACACCGGTGGAGTTTTTAGATTCTTGGCATAAAGTTGTACTGACTTCTTGCAGTCACAAATACATGAGAGGGCAGACTTCTTGCAGTCACAAATACATGAGAGGGCATGAGAATGTACCACGTGGACTTTCAAAGTGTTCGGGGGTTTGCTTGACTACAGAAGAGATTCAAAGGTTTTATTTTATTTTTTTTCTTCCCTGAAATGCTACTATTTGGGGGCCGGGGAAGGATGCCGGGTTTCCAATAACTACATGACAAGACTTCTAACACAGAGGAGTCATTAACCTGGAGTTGAGTTTGAGCCTAGAATTCGAAGGGCTCTAAAGCAAAAATAAATCTTCTCCACCTAACAGGCCTGGGAAGTGCGAATTACGTATGGGTGTGGGCTTGGTGGCGGGAGAACTGCGGCTAAACGATTCACGATAGTATATGCAAATAAAAGGGTTACCAGTTCTGGAGAAGAGGCAAATAATTCATCTTTACCACCACTCACCTTTCACTCTGCGGCTGACGGAACCTGATTATCTTTTTTTAAAAGCTCATTATCTTCAGTTACCACCTCCTAGACCTTAGCGCCTAACCCAAGTCCGCGCAGGGGTAGTGGCGACGCCTACAACTCCCTCCCGCACCTAAGCACCCAGAGAGCCCGACTCCATCAAGGAGGAGGCCTTGACCTCCCCTCCCCTCCCCTCCCCCTCTGGCCCCACTACCGAGAGCTCCCAGGCCTCCAGTGCCCGGCGGCCGTGTGCTCCACGCCATCTGCCACCAGGGCTTCGGCGTCCGGCCACTGCTTCCCCTTACCCCTGCTACAAAGCCTGTGACCAACTCCGAAGACTCGCGTGGACCGCACGCCGCCGGGCCCGAGAACCCGGGCCCTGCCCGTGCCCGAAGCCCTCAGGCCTTCAGCAGCGCCCAGAGCTCGAGCCCCACGCTCGCCGCGCACTCCCCGATCCGGCGCGCCGCCGGGCCCTATTCGGAGCTGAGGCCCGGGCCCAGCGCACTGAACCGCCGCGCCGCCCCCAGCTCAGGCCCGGCGGCCCCCTCGCGCTCCTCGCGGCCCGCGCGCGGCCGCCCCCGCCCTGCCCGGGCCCCGCGCTCCCCACCGCTCGCACCGTCTCGTCGGGGTCTATGTCGATCTTGAAGGTCTGCTGTTGGAGGGTCTTCAGGGTGACCAGCATGGTGCCGCCGCGCAGCTCCGCTGCCGGGCCTGCTCCGGGTGCTGGCCGCTGGGCGGGGTCTGTGGCCTGGCGGGGCCCCGGGGTCGCCCGCGCTCCTCGCGCACTCGGGAGGAAGGCGGTGGGGGTGGGGGCTTGTCACATTCGCCCTGCGGAGCGGCCTCTCCCCCAGCCCTGCGCCCGGGCCGCGCCGCTGCCTCCGCGACTGCGGCCTTCCCCGCGAGTTTGGGCCGCCGTGCTTCCTCACGCGCCCGGCGCCGGCCACTGAGTCCGAAAGGCACGAGGGGCTCTGCGAGACAAGCAGGGAATCCGCTACCTCACCACAAGCTGGTGGCCGCCATCAACGTGACTGGCCGAGACGCGCCCCCTCCCCCACCCGAAAAAATCTGGGGGATGGGGCCGGGCTGGCTAAGCACGCAGGCGTAGGGTGCGGCGAGGCTGTGCGCAGGCGCGGCCAAGAACTCCGCCCCGGAATTGGGGCGGGGCGGATTGCGGCTCTGGAATGTCGGCGGCCTGGATCGAGCGTGCGCAGGCGCAGTCAGTGGGCTTCGCGAGGGCTGTCTGGGCTTCCTTGTGGCGTCTGCACCCGGGGCGTTCTCCCGCCGGTCGCTGCTCCGCCTACGTCCAGGCTCCTCCCGGCTGCTTGAGTTGCGCAATCCGTAGTCGGGGAAGCGCTACGTGGAGACCGCGCAAAGTGGAAGCCGAGCGGCGGTAGGTTGAGGCGGGGTTTAAGTGAAAAGATCGTGGTAACCACGGTACTGGGCCGGCGCTTATTGGGCGCTTATCGTGTGGCTGAGCCTCTGTGGTGACGACTCTAATCCTTTACTCCTGAGAGCACAGACTGTGCCACACTGCCTGGGTGGACCTTGGGCGTAAATAGAAGGACCGATAAAGGAGGTCAAGTTCTTTGGCTCGTCTGGGCGGAACTGCCCAGTGGCTCCTGTCACCCAGAAGTCAGAGTGCTTGGATACATAGCCCTTGCCTTTCAACCACGTCTCCCTCCTCTCCCTTGCGCTGCGGTTGGTGGTGGGTACTAGGCACGTGCTCCCGCCCGAGAGCCTGCCTTTGCACTTGTGCCCGCTCCTTAGTCCTCTTTACCCAGACGCTAGAGTGGCTCACTGTCTCGCCTCCTTCAAACCTTTGCTCAAATGTCACCTTCTCAGTGAACTCTACCCTAATACTCGGCTGAAAACCTCCACTATGCTAGGTCTGTTCTGTTCTGTCTGTAGCACTTATCGTCTTCTAATTACCAGATAATATACATATTTATTATGTTTATCATCGTTCTTTTCCTCCAAACCCCAGATTGAAACTGCACAAAAGCGAGAATTTTGTTGTGTTAACCGATGTGTGAAGAAACGTGCCTGACAGCAGGCACACAAATATCATTGGAATGGGTTAATGTGCTTCCAGTCCCTCATCAGTAAGGTACAGATAATAATAGCTTCATTGAATGTTGGAGGGGTTATTGAATAATGTATGTAAAGACTTAGTACAAGGAACATAGTAAGCATCGCCTAAGTAGTTAGCTATTTGTAGTATGCTCATTTACAGATAAGGAAAGTGGAGTCCAGAGATGCTGAGTAATGTGCCTGGAGTCACCCACCTAGTTAGTGACAGACCCAGCATTTGAACCCAAGCAGAATGACCCCAGAGAACTTGCTCCAGGTGTCTGGGTATTCTTAATAAGGTACACATTTGACATAAAGTGGTTCCAGTATGAAGGAAAATTACAGTTATACCGCTAACCGTGTGACCAATTGCAAATTACATCTCTCTGCCGTTGTTCTGACTGAGACAGTGTCGCTGCTTGGTTTTTCCTTGATTTTAGCGCTCAGGTATAATTCTTCCACAGAACTTTCCCTGACCAACTTCCTTCTCCACTGACCTGGCATTTCCCCTTTCTCAGCGCATGTCTCCTTGTCTTGTAGTTCAATATCTAATCCTCTGCCGTCTGTATTCCTGTATGGCTACTGTTAGTCACCAGGTGATCTCATTTTGTGCTTTGTTTTGAAATACCTCCAGCTTGACCTGTCCCCTTAGGTGTAGATAGTTAGCCAATTGCCTAAACGATATCTTCACTTAGAGCGTAACAACCTTCTGAAGCCTATCACAGCCGAACAGAACCACTGATTTTTCTCTGAACCTCTCTTCCTCCTGAAACCTGTTTTTCTCCCAGTTTTCCCCCGTTTTAGTTCATGATACCACTATCTACTTAAGGCGCTCAGATCAAAAATCTAATCATCATCCCTGGGCAATCTCTCCTTTGTTTCTATTTCCCCACCCACCACATCTAATCCATTATCAAGTCCTGTCAACTTTATTCTCCAAATTATGTCCCCAATTCAGCCATTTTTACCATTTCTAATTCTACAATCTTAGGCTAATCCATCATTATCTTTTCACCTGCCTCCCAACTGGTTTCTCCCATTTTACTCTTTTTCCTTTAGCCTCCCCAGCAGTCAGAGTAGTCTTTTTCAACCGTTAATCAAATCATGTAACATTTATTTTTTTTAAATATTTATTTTAGAGAGAGAGAGAGAGGCAGAGAGAGGGAGACAGAATCTGAAGCAGGATCCAGGCTCTGAGCTCTCAGTACAGAGCCTGATAGGGGACTCAAACTCACAAACCGTGAGATCGTGACCTGAGCTGAAGTTGGACCCTTAACTGACTGAGCCACCCAGGTGCCCCTCACACCTATTCTTAATGTCTAATTACACTTGAGAATAAAATTCAAACTCTTCGCCTGGTTTTGAAGAATTCACATGATCTGTGTCCTGCCAAATTCTCTGGCCTCATCTCTCCTCTGTCCCCTGCTCATTCACTGTCATCCTTCTGTCCCAGCTTTCTCTCACGTCTCAAACTGGCCAGGCTGGTTCTCACCTCTGCACTTTGCAGTTATGGTTACTTCAGCGTGAAACTATCTTCCTACATCTTTGAATGGCTAATTCCTTTTCATCATTCAGATTGCAGGTCCTATTTTGCTTCCTTGGAGAGCACTTCTCCAACAACTGCAGTGATCTATAATAAACATAATAACCCTCTAAGCGAGGCACTGTCCTACGCCCTTTATTTGGATAATTTCATTTGGGCCCCAACAAAACTCCACGAGACAGCAACATTACCCTGGCTTAAATTTTTTCATGGATCTACTTGAAATTATCATCTTTCTACCTGTTTATAGTCTATCTCACATTACTACTCACTTCCCATCTTTTTTTGGGAGGAGGAACTCACTTGCCTTACTCATGGTCTTTCCCAAGCATCTAGAAATAGCCTAGAACACAGTAGGTGCTCAGTAGTGTATGTTCACTGACTCCCAACTCAGTTGTAAGCTCCATGAGGCCAGATGTTGTGTCAATCTTGTTCATAATGGTATCTTTAGAGTCTGGTGCAATGTGATTGCTCAATATGCATTGGCTGAAAAAGTGGTGACATAACTTTAGTTAACAGTCAGTTTAGTTTAGTTGCAATTTAAATAGTTGTAATAAAACCTGTGAAAACATTTATAATTTATTATAGTTTTGTTATATATTATAAATTCAACCCACTTATATTAAATTATCATTTATTTTTATTTTAACATCTTTTATATTACATTTATTATACTTTTATTTATTGTATTTATTATAATTTTAAAACCTTTCCTGCTACAGGTACTGTTATCCATCTGAAGTAAAATGGCAGTGAGAAATTCCTCTACATATATTGGAGTATGTTTTTAAAAAAATCTTTCACTCATGGCAAAATAAATAAATAAATCAACAGTATAAAGGGATCAATTAAAAATAAATCCCCCTGTTCCCCTTTCTAGAAATAACCACCATTTTGAGTGACTTTAGACATTTTCTAGATATATATACAAGAATATATTCCCCCAAATAGTAGGGGATTTTAAATAGATTTTAAATGCCAAATGTATCAGAGTCACCTGATACATTTTCTAAAGTACAGTGTTAAGATAAAAAGTTGTTTTTGTTTTCTTTTAATTTCTGGAAAAACTGTATGCCAGGCATAACCACTCTTGGCCCAATAGCACAGGTTGGACAGGCTGTATGCCTCCTTGGAAGATGTTGCCTTTACCCAGAGTCCCATAGTTCACATGACAGATGATAGGACCCCATTCCCCAACCCTCCCAACACTAAGGCCACCGAGGTGAGGTTGTTCATGAGCAAGGCCTTGTAGGATAAAGGCCTTCAAGAGCTATTGTGCAGGATAAAAAGATGGGTAGGAGTTGTTAATTCCAAATACTTGATAAGAAGCCTGATAATTTTGCTTGCATTTTTGGAAATAAGTCAAATGATTTCAGAGGAAAAGATGAGCAAGAAGAGATGTAGCAAGTGCTGACTTAGGAAATACTAGGGCAAAAATGCCAGACTTCAAGCTATTCATTCAACAAATAGTTATTGAGACTCAATCCGTGCCAGGAACTGTTCTGCATACTGTGGATACAATAGGGAACAAAACAAAGTCCCTGCCCTCATGGAGTTTATAATCTAGCGGGATAATAGATAAAGAACTAAAAATCAAAGATGCTTCTAATCAGGTGATAAGTGCTATTTTTTAAAAAGCACACAAAGAGAATTGGAGTACCTATGTGGCTAAGTCAGTTAAGTATCCAACTCTTGATTTAGGCTCAGGCATGATCTCATAGTTAATGTGTTCGAGCCCTGCATTGAGCTGTGCGCTGACAGAGGAGCCTGCTTGGGATTCTCTCTCCTTCCCTCTCTGCCGCTCCCCTACTTGGGCACACACTCTCTCAAAATGAATAAATCAAGTAAAAATAAAAAGCACATGAAGAGGATCAATAGTGCCCAGAAAAAATAGAGTTGCTACAGAGAATGTGCCAGATAGCTTTCATTCCTTTTCCTCCCGTTATTCTTTCGTCCTTCTTCTTTGCTCAGCAACTGGCTGACCTATATGGACTACCACAGCTGGCTTCCTGGGGAGTTCCTGCTGGAGATAGGAGTGAGCAGAGAGTGAGGTTAGGGAATTTATTCTTTGTGGTTGGTAGTGCTCTTGATACAAGGTCATTGCTTCTGTAGGGTGGCCCTCCAGGGGGCAGAAAGGTACCCAGTAGGTCACTGGGATTGGTAAATGGAACCACTCCTGCTTCCCCACCTTGGTTCCTGGACCCACCTGGACTTCCTACTGAGGAAACTGTCCCAGAGGGTTCTCCGATTCAGTGTATAGATTGCATTCTGGAGAATGAAACCTTGTTCTTGCACAGTATTCCCTCTAAGATGGTACTTCAGTTGTACCATCGACAAGGCATTCCATTGCTCTCTTAGGTTGGCTCCTCTGGAGAGGGTGGTATATGAAAAGACCAACAGGTCCTATTATCATGGGATCACTCCCAAACCTCCAGT